AATAAATTTTTGGAAAAAAAAAGAAAGTACCCTGGACTGTCACAAGAACAAACAAAGGAAGAAGCACACCCAGATTTCTTCTTAGAAGCAAGGATGGCAATACTCCGACGATCATACTTTGTACACATTGTCAGGATGGACCTGTCCTTGAAGAAGTACATGAAGCTTATAAAAACAGGATCAGTGAAAAAGATGAAGACTTCCAACAAGATGAATTGACACAGTGGCAGCAACAATGCACTCAAACATAACAATTGTGAACATGGTGCGTGGCTGGGCAGTATTTTGTTATGTTGTAATAGGGCCACTACTCAATGGTCCTTACAAAATCAGAACCTACTCAATGGTCCTTACAAAATCAGAACCTACTCAATGGTCCTTACAAAATCAGAACCTACTTCATGGTCCTTACAAAATCAGAACCTTCTCAATGGCCCTTAACAAAATCAGAAACTATTCAATGGTCCTTACAAAATCAGAACCTACTCAATGGTCCTTACAAAATCAGAACCTACTCAATGGTCCTTACAAAATCAGAACCTAGTCAATGGTCCTTAACAAAATCAGAACCTACTTCATGGTCCTGACAAAATCAGAACCTTCTCAATGGTCCTTAACAAAATCAGAAACTATTCAATGGTCCTTACAAAATCAGAACCTACTCAAGGGTCCTTACAAAATCAGAATCTACTCAATGGTCCTTACAAAATTAGAACCTACTCAATGGTCCTTAACAAAAACAACACCTAGGTCTCTTATTTAATACATGACTGAGATAATTAATTTCATAAATTAATGTGGCTATACTATTGCTCCCAATGATGCTGTCAAACACGAGATTGTTTGCTGTTCCATACTGTAACCTACTCAATTAACAACCTTTGATATGTAGTTGACACAACCTTACTTGGGAAAAGAATAGAGGACTTACATCACTTATGATAAAGATAAAAATATGGATTACATTTTAATATAGAGCAAACTAACAAATGGATCCATAAGCGACATCATGATAGAGAGAATATATATAATATTGAAGTTGTCAAGGATTTCATTTTACTTGGATCCACAATCAACACTCATGGAAGCAAAAGTCAAGAAATCAAATGAAATATTGCATTGGGCAAATCTGCTGCAAAATAGCTCTTTGAAGTGTTAAAAATCAAAGAATGTCACTCTGAGAACTAAGGTGTGCCTGACCCAAGCCATGGTGTATTCAATCACTTTATATATATATGAAAGTTGGATAATGAATAAAAAAGACCAAATATTAATTGAAACATCTGAATTGAATACCAAAAGTATCATGGATTGCTAGATGAACAAACAAATCTGTCTTGACAGATGTACACAGCCAGAATGCTCCTTAGAAGGAAAGAATGCTAAGACCAACCACTCTGCCTATTCTATTTGCTAGACTTCTCTTTCCTGTTACCGAAATATTTGTGCAAATTTGACATAAAAGTTTCAAATTACTCCCTTTTATTTGTTCTTTGATTATATTAAAGTGAAAACAGTTACTCCTAATTCAATCTGCTTCCTTTGTATAAGATCTTGGATTTCATTATTTGAAGTCAGATTTAATTTTATAGTTTCATTGGGTCTGATAGATGCATTAGGGAGTCTGAGGGGTTTGGTGTCATGATGAGGAACTACAGTTGTGTTTTAAGAGTAGCAGGCTGGCCTGGTAGTCCGTCTCTTGACTGTTGTACTAACCATGACCACCTGTTCAACGCCAAGAAGGCAGATCTTGTCAGCGTTGTTCTCTTGGTTTCAAAGAGAGAAACGTTCCCATCTTCTAATCCTTACAGACGTTTTTATTGAGCGCCATCCATGTTATATGGAAATACTCTGGAGCTTTGATGCCAAATGTTCATGATCAATGCATCAGTATCCTATCAATAAAGAAATTTGGTTTTCAAGAAAGAGAGATTGGTACTTATCTGAACACAAAGTGGGAGATGTCAGTGATGATGGAGCATGGAAAAGAACAGGGAAACATTTGCTGTCTGAGGGAAGAAGGCCCTGGTAGAGGCAGAAAATAATGGAATGAAGAGCTTATGGGAGGGTTAGCCTTGGAGAGGAAAATTGTATCAGTTGATTAAATAGAAGAAGAAGAGAAAATGGAATGGGAGAAAACAAAACAAGGTGAAATGGAGAAAGCAGCAGAGATGTTAAGAAGAATGCTGAATAGCTCCACTGACGTTAGGCAGCATGGCCACGTGATGGACCAAACATGCAAGGTTCTGCCATTGTCCAATGCTCTTTGGACCAAGGGTTGAAACAGAAGAAGTGGAAACAATTTTCACTGAAAAAGAAAATCTAGGTCAATACTGAAGTCCCAGGATCATGTACATTTTTTCTCTTTCTCCTTTCTATAAGAGTAATTTGACTGATCTTGCATAATTGGCACATATACATCATTTCAAGTTTCCACTTATCCGTATTCTCCAGTCAAAGACTGCTGGCATGGTCTGTACATATGTGTCCCTTAGCAACCCCTACATCTTACGTTTCCACACTAAATGCCATTATCCTCATACATTAGTACCTTACTAGAAATAAGTTAAACTTTGTCACAGGCACAAAGGAGAACTTTTAGTCAAGAACTTAGTGCCTGACTCCCTTCCAAAGAATAAGTTAAGCACTGGAGAGAGCAGAACTATTATTCACTGTGGTGAAAACTCCCTAGGTACCACCTCAAACCTTTCCTGCAAATCACATTTAGTTCATGCTCACGAATTGACAAGGATGAGGGCTAACTAACTTGACTCAGCGAGGACTCATTCACCCATGGAATGTTTCCTGACTAAAGTTTTCTCTCAGCTTCCTTACAAGGGCCTGGCACCATAAAGGAGTTTCATCAGACAACAGTGAGAGGTGTGGTTAAGGGTTGGTCTTAGGAAATGCAAATGTGGCTATCCTCAAACTGGAGTCCTTGCAGCTGGCCACCAGCTGTTACAGGTCCTCCCAGCTATCACACCCAAATCATAGGCCCTAAACCCTGAACCATGGCCCTCCTGTATGTGTGTGTGGGGGGGTGGGGGGTGGAGGGGAACGGGGACAGTGTGTTGGCAGGAAGGGTGGATGGTAAACCCTATGCTTTCTCCTGCACCTTGCCATTCTGACTGACTCTAGATACTCTGACATGGTTTCTGTCTATAGCACCCCATAAGTAGTTCTTGTCAACTTCTCTTTCTAAGAACTGAATTCTGTTCTTTGTTCCCCCCAATTCTTCCAAAATTGGACTGGCCATTTGGAATCATGAGACATCAATCATTTTCATTCAATGCCACTGCCTACCCATAAGGAACACAGCATGTACCTGAGCCACTCATGATGGGTACTGGCCTTGGAGCTGTTAGGCACTCGATGATGGCTCAGTGGCCCCTGTGAGGGCTGCCTCATGCTCACATTAGGCTCTGCAGGTGTGTCCTGCTGCCCTACCTTCCTCTCCACAGACACCTCTGATGCCTGCCTGTCTGAGTTATGGAAGCAGACCTGAGGATTTCAGACTTTCCTACACTGTTCTTCACAGAACCCTGAGCTAACACTAGAATAAAGGTTTGGAACCCACAGCTGAATAAAAATGGATTGTGATAACTGCAAGTAAATATAAACGAAGTCTCGGCTACAATGGAAGGAATGGATAAGTAAATTATGTAACAATCAGCACTTCCTGTCTTTTTATCATCACGGTGATTCATGATGGGGACCAATTACCCCACACACCTGCAATCCATACTGGTTGGGAAGCTCTGTCCTAACAGTCACAAAGCTCAAGCCTGAAAGTCAACTCAGCGTACTCCCAGGACCAGTGTGTGAAAAGAGGACACCTTACCTTACCCAAAGATCCTTAGAGACCATGTGGGTTTACATGTTGGGCTGCTAGCCACAAGGTCATCAGTTCCAACCAACAGCTGCTCCAAGAGAGACAGATGAGGCTATCTGCTCCCGTAAAGAAACCTTAAGGCACAGTTCTACTCTAGGAGTTGGAGTGAACTCAAAGGCAGTGGGTTCAGTTTGTTAGTTTTTACCCATAATTGGACCTCAGCCAGTTGATTCCCTGCACTCACCTGCATTGCCCACTCTCCTGGTCACACTCTGGGATGGTGGTCTCCAAGGAGCCCCTTCTGGAGCAGTTGCAGCCCTCGCAGCCGGCCAGGGGGTGGAAGCTGAAGGAATTCATTTCACACACTTCGCACTGGGGCCTGACCGTGTGGGGTGGGCAGAGGCATGCTCCCGTGGTCTCCTCACAGAGGCGTCGGCCACAGCTACACACTGGTGGGGATGAATCGACACCGAGAAAAGATCAGATACCGCCTGAATCCAGGGCCTGCACCAACAGCCAGGACGAGCTCAAGTTGGTCCCAGGGGATCTTTCCCTGCACTATGGACAGACAATGTGAGGGTGAGTTTCATGTGTCCATTTGGCTCAGTTGTGAAGATCTATTATTTGGTCAAACACCTTGTTGTCATGACAGTATTCACGTGTGATTAGAATGTAAGTCTGTTGATCTAAAAGTAAAGCAGATCATACTTCATAATGTGCATGGACCTCGTCCAATCAGTTGAAAGTCTTAAGGGCAAAATCAAGGTTTCTTAGAGAAGGGTTCGGGCTCAAGACTGTAAATAAACATCCTGCTGGCATTTCCGGCCCACCACCTAGCCTACCCATTTTGGCCTACCCTGAGTTCCCAGCCTGTTGCCTGATTTTGGACTGACAAGCCCCCACAATTACATGAGCTAATTCCTTAAATGACTCAATCTCTCTCTCCATACATACGTTATTGTTAAGTGACATTGAGTTGGTTCTGACTCATAGAAACCCTGCATAGGACTGCTGACCTTTTGGTTAGCAGTCCATTGCTTATTCAATGGCACCACACCAGAAGTCCTCTCTATTGTTGTTGTTAAGTGCCATCAAGTTGGCTCCGACTTATAGCAACCCTGTATAGGACTTGCAAGGAGCAACTGGTGAGTTTGAACCACTGACCTTGAGGTTCTAACTGACCTTGCATATGTCTCATATAGATGCATGTCTCAAGGTTTTATGTTGTTTATGCCACCGTTAAAACTTTATTCTTTCCACCTTTTTTTTAAAATGTCTGTTTTCATTTTTGTTGTTTTTAAGTGCTATCAAGTCAGCTCATGGTGGCTGCAGTGTAAGTGCTGAATGAGACACAGCAGACCAAGCTCTGATACTCAAAGGATCCACCCAGCTGCCATCTGATGCCATTCTAAGGTGGGATCTCCTATTCATTGGGGAGCCTATAAGTAAAGAAGCAAGTGGGCTTTTGTAGTGGCTCCTCATGCCGGGAACCTTCAGCTCAGTACTTGGGGCAGAGGCCATGGTCCTGTTTGCCACCGTGTGGTGAGGCTGACCTCAGGTAGTAAGACCTGAGGGACTATGCACAGCTCTGCCACATGTCTGGGGCCACAGTACAATTCCTAAAAGCCATGAGTTTCTCCCCCAGTGAAGATTCTGGCTGTGAGTCCCTCATGCCCCTATTTCAGTTGAGTTTTGTTTAAAACAAAGATTGAAGTGGCTTCCACTGGCTAGGAAGGGAACTCAGCTGTCCAAAAGTGTGAATCATAAGGTTATTAATACTCACCTGCTTTGCCAAGCACAGGGCTCGCACAGTTGAGAAAACACAAATATGTACCTTCTAGAACAGTCTTACTCAAAATATGGTCCATGGACCAGCAGCATACACACCACTTGGGTATCCATTAGAAATACAGACTATCAGCATTGCCCTAGACCTGCTAAATCATAATCTTTATTTTAGCAAGATCCCCAGGTGATTGATTCCTTTACATGGTAAATTTAGGAAGCATTGCTCCAGATGAACAATCTGTGTGTGCGTCATCCACCAAGAGGCATAGGGACCAGGTGACAGGGCTGCACTTACGCCTGCAGTGTGGGAATCCGTAGTAGCCAGTTTGGCAGCGGGTACACCGCCGCCCGATGATGTTAGGCCTGCAAAGGCATTGCCCGCCCTCTGGGTTGCAGCCTGGGCCCAGGGATCCAGTAGGGTGACACTCACAGGGCACTGCACCATTGTGGTACAAGACCACCAGGGACCTGGCGGAGTTCTTACAGAATCCGGAGGCTGTCTGGGGGCTGTGGAGACAAACGCAACTCACAGTGGGATTGTAAAAGTCAGCTAAGAAAGCACCCACCAGGGCCACCCTCTCCTTCTCCATTCGTCCCACATAGCAATGTCTTTAGGGGTAAACCCCAGAGTCTGGGAAGAGTGAGAAACCACCCCACTCCTAGACGCATAGCTGGTGACATCCCCTGCCAGCCAGCCAGCCCTGAGTCTAATAGTAACTGATGGTCCTCTACTCCCACCCATCCACTTCCGAAGGCACTCAAACCCATAGCTGCTTGACCTCAAAGTCTTTGTTCTTCCTATTCACCCTAGTGGAGGTTTCAGTCTCCCAGGGCCCTCTGGAGCTCCCAGGTTCCTCTAAACCTACAAAGTAGATGTGAAGAAGAGAATGGCAGGAGCAGGCTGTCCCGGGCACTAAGCCTCCAGGAGCCCAGGAAGAGTGCTTGGGAGAACATGTCTCTGCGGTATTCCCCGCTCAGTAAGATGGCAGAGGAGAGGGGAATCAGGGCCAACATTCCTTCCTGCAAAGAGCACCATGCCTACTAGCTTTTAGGAATCTAAGTTGGCAAACGAAGCAGTCTGGGAATCCCAGTGAGGAAAGCGATCTCAGCTGAGCTCTAAGTTGCTGGCAGAGACCCTGCCCAGACAGCTCACCACGGGGTCACTGTAAGATGGTCAGTTAGGAGAAAGAGCACAGAGTCACTGTCACTCCTGTGGGTGGTGAAAGGAGATCCACAGGTCACCCCTATCCCTGGCTGTGAACTGGCTGGAAATGTAGCAGTGCCTCAGGCACCCCAGGCCCTTCCCCTGAGTGGTACTTACTTAATATAAAAACTGTTTCCTCCACAGTTGTTGATAAACTCTGATGACTTGTCCACAGATTTTTGGTGTAGTAATTGGGAGTCGTCACTCTCCAAGGGCACTACTAGAACACCAACCTAAAATAAATCCATCAGAGTGCCTTTGGACTTCCAAAAACAGGCAACATGAAAGAATATTCAATGTAGTTTCCTTCTCTAGGAAGCCAGAGTGACAGCATGTGCATGGTTATACTATATCCTGTACGCAATAAGGAGCCCAGGAAATTGGTCATGCAGAATGGCATGTCGGATCTGCTTTAGCCAGGTGTGGAGGATAAGAGAGGGAGCTCAAGCAGGGGGTCCTGGTGCAGTTCAAGTGAGAGAACAGATTGTCTGACCAGAACAGTGGGACTCAAACTGATTGGATGTATTCAGGAGACAGGACAAAGGAAGAAACCACACACTTGGGGACTGGCCATTGGAGAAGACTAGAGAGAAGCAGAGGCATCACTGGATTCCATCAGCCAAGATGGCAAACAGGGTAGTAGATGTCCTGGCTACAGAGGAAACGGGAACTCCTGAGCTATATGGCTATGGGGCTGATCGGTCACATATTGATCTTGGAGTTCAGGAAAGATTGGAGATAGATTCACAGATGTAAGCATCACTGAGTGGAGGAGAGAACAGCATCAACAGGAGAAGATGTTCTTGAAAGAGGTGATATAGGAGAAGAGGCTCTTACATTTGAAAATGAGAGCGCTACAACACATAGGAACAAGGGGAAAAGAGAAATTACTGAAGGAATACTAGAGGAAGTAGAAGAAAACGTAAAGAAGGTAACATGTGGAAAGTAAAAGCAAACAGCTTCAAAAAGGAAGGTATGTTAAAGGTTCCAGGAGTGATCAATCATGTGAGGAGAGAGGAGGGACCGGTCAATGGAACACTGAGACTCTCTTTTCAGAGCTTCTTTCAGGGTAGTTTTTTTCTTATTAATTTCTCTGTTACTCCCAGTCCCCTTGATTTTAATTGCCACACACTTTTCATATTTTTTAGAAATACCTGTAAAGCTAAAACGTGTTTCTATAACTATGACTTCACCTATTTTGAGGAATTATGTTCATGAGCCAGACAAACACACCAAACTGCTGACCAATGCAGCCACACCAAGAGCACGCTGAGAAACAAATGGAACGCACCAGTATCAAGGACTTCCCTTCTGGAACCTTCACAGTCACGGCAACTTCAGGCTCTGAGATGTCCAATGCAACCTGATCTCCAGAGATGACTTGCTCTCGGCAGCCAAGTGCATGGGGGCAAAAAGAGGCATGGAAGGAACCTAAACAAAGAGAGAAGGGTTCACGTCCCACCACCGCAGGGATGGCTCCCGGTGAGCAGCTGGCAGGACCCACTCATAGCAGCTCACCTGACCATGGCCGCGCTCCATCCACAAACACCTGTGCAGGGAACGTGGGGTGCTCTGGTTGACAAAAATGAATGACAAAGACATGTCGGCCCAGGTGTGCTACATGTCCTCTCAGAGTCACCTGATTCTAAGAGGAAAATAAATAAATAAAAACAAAACCCTCAAATAAAGAGCTATAAGTAATTATTTAGAGGTCAAAAGACAACAACAAATAAAAATGAGAGGCCATCTAGCATCATTCTCTCCTCTTTCAGATGAAGGTTACCTTTTAGGGAGGGTAAGTAACTTACCAAAGGTCAGACACTAAAACTAGGACTAGAACTTCTATCAACAGTCTCAATTTCAATTTATTTCCACTACTATTCTAAGTTGTCTTCATCAATTAAATTTTATCTCTCAGATCCTGTTAATTTCTAAACTAGATGTAAAGTATGAGCAATTGTTAGGATTATAAGGACAGAATAGGATCAGAGCAAGCACATTAAACACATTTCCATAACAAAGAATGAAAAAAAGTCCTGAGATTTGGTAATTTACCCTGAATAACAACAGCAACAAAATCTTCTAGTATTATACTTCACCTTGGTGCTCTACATGAGAAGCTAATAAATACTCTTTTTATTGAATTAATTAATTTCCTACTCGCACCGTACTATGCTAAGTACTAGAGTCTTGGTGGGGTGCTATAGAATAAGAACAAGGTCAGCGGTTCAAACCCTCCAGCTGCTCCTGGGAAACCCTATACAGGACCACTGTGATTCGGAACAGCCTCAACAACAACAACATGTTAAGTGCCTGGGGGAGACAACAAAACTTGTTAGTAAGAGTAATCATTCTGAAAGTGCTTATGGTGCAATTTGGGAAGACAATAAACCCAACAAAATTAAACACCCTATGAACATATTGAGCTCTGGTAGCGTAGTGGTTACGAATCAGGCTGCGAACCGCAAGGTCAGCAGTTCGAAACTATCAGCTGTTCCATGGGAGAAAGATGAGGCTTTCTGCTTCAGTAAAGATTTACAGCCTTGAAAACTCTGTACAGGGTCGCTATGAATCGGAACTGACTCCATGGCACATAGCAACAGCAACAACATGAACATATGAGGCATTACAAGATGAGCAATGGAAATTTTCCAAACTGCAGGAGAGAATGAGAGCATCAGGCTACGGTGGTTACACAGGACTAACAGATGCCTGCCTTTCTGGAAGTTTCCACAGGTTAGAGCAGAGGTCCTCAATTTCAGGGACACCACACTTACCAGGAGGGCTTGTTGAAAGACAGATTGGTGTGGTGGTCTGAGAATTAGTATCAGTAACAAGTTCCTAGGTGATGCAGATATTACTGGTCTGGGGACCACACTTTGAGAATCTCTAGCGAAGGAAGAGGAGTCCTGGTGTGGCACTGTGGCTTAATGCGCCAGATTGCAAAGCCATTTGAACTGCAAGGTTGGTGGTTCAAGCTCACCAGCTGCTCCTCGGAAACCCTATACAGGGTCGCTATGGGTTGGAATTGACTTGACAGCACTTAGTGACAACAACAGTGAAGGAAGAACACTCTCAAGGGAAGTTCTACCTGTGGTGCCTTCAAGGTGATCCCAGAAACAACATTAGCAGAAGGTAGAGGATCCTGGGGCAGAAGAGGAGAAGGCTCAGCACTTGGGGCATTCAAAACCAAAACTCCTTTCGGAGGAGTTTCGTGGGCCAGGGAGACACAGGTGGCACTGGAAAAGAGAAGATTTAAAAATCTTATTTTAAAAAAACTAAAAGGTGCCATCAGTGAAGAAAGCTATCTTTGAGCATAGATTGTGTGAGCCTGGAAAGGCTCGCCTGCTGGGGATGTTACAGAATTCTGCAGATCTTGATGTGACAACACGCAGAGAAGCCCTGTGGCCAAGTGTCTTCCAGCTGCCTGCTCAGTACAATTAGTTAAAGCACAAAGTAGTCTTAATTCTGAAGTCAAGCAACCTAGATTGAAATTTATTAAAACTTGCTTTACAGAACTAAAATGAATTGTTACAATGAGATCAATGCAGCCTACATGTTGACATAAAAACTTACAAAAACAAAGAACAAATGCACTCCATTTCTTTAAAGCAGACCCCGACTGACATTGTCTTCATGGTTTCTGTAGCCCAACCAGATGTCAGGACTATGCATATAAATTGTTTGTAAATGTACATCAAAACTACCTTGCAGAAGCTTGGTTAGTTAATTCTTAAAATCATTCTTTCTGTGGTTTTTCAAGTAAATCGCCTCAGACACAGACATTAAAGGATTATACATGGTGAGTCTTTCCTTGGACTCAAAACAGAACTCAGGGAAACTGTTCTCCAGGGTAGGTTCACCCCAGTTCACTTCTGTGTCAGCTTCCTGCTGTTAGTTCTGGAAAAACGGTTGAGGTTAATAATGAAGCCTTTTTATCCATTACAAGCCTTAATTCCCTTAGCCTTTGATCATCAGGCAGTCAGGTATGACTTGCGAGGGAGGCACTGTGCTAAGCGCTTACAAGCATTGCAGTATTACTCAGAGCATAAATTAAGGAGAAAGGAAAGAAGCACATTACCTTTCATTTAAAAGTTGCCCATAACTGGCAATGCAGTGGACTTGGGGTCTCACATATTCAGTTGAGAATTCTTCAATTGGTATGATACAAATTTGATGCTGTTGAACAAAGACAATGCAACCAGTGTCACGGTCAAATACACTATTTTAATGAAGCTGTTAACTACAAAGGCTTCACCCAGAAGAACTGTGACTGTCATTTCAAAATAGTGAAATCTGCAGGATGATAGTCTCCACAGCATCATTAGGTATAACAAATCCTTGTTACTTTGACACAGGACAACTGACTAAATTGTTTTTGGATTAACTAAAGGAAAACAAACAGAGAACAAAATCTTAACAAAATATTAAAACAACTCTGTTCAGTGAGTCTCGGTGACTTGGCTTGACACTGGGCGAGGATGAGGTGGGCGGCCAGGGAGCCAGCTTCTCAGAGACAGAGCTACTCCTACGAGGAGTGGAATGATGCTTGTTAATAAAGGATGACTTGAATTTCAGGCACACCTGGACATCGCTCCAGGAACTGTCTCCAGAGGTAACTTTTGAGTCACATGAGAAACTCAATGTATCAGTATATTTTGTTTTAAATCAAACTGTACTACCAGCTTGATTCCAAAGCTTATTCGATAACAATGACAACAATTTTACTGAGCCTCTCCTGCCCCTACCAGGCATCAAGATCTTGTAAGACCATAATGGATAATGCTCCAGCCCTAATGGACAATCATTTTATGCTAATCAGATGAGTCACTGAATGACAGTGGATGATTTCAAATAGGGGTGTCCTACCTTTAAGGAGCTCTGGTAGTGTAGTGGTTACGAATTGGGCTGCGAACCGCAAGGTCAGCAGTTCGAAACTATCAGCTGTTCCACGGGAGAAAGATGAGGCTTTATGCTCCCATAAAGATTTACAGCCTTGGAAACCCTGTATAGGGTCACTATGAGTCGGAACCGACTATGAGTTGGCACAAAACAACAACAACAACCTTTATGATACAAAGAATCACCCCTATAATTGGCAAAGACAAAGAGGTTGATTCACCTGGATTGTTCATCTTAAAAAAGAAAGACTCAGTATTTCATATTTTTTTTAAAGGAAGCAAAGCTGAACTCCAGGTACTTCTCAAGGTCAAGCTCAATATTTTTAATATTGTCAAGCACAAATATTTTAAACATATTAGAACAGGCTAGCCCAGCATTTTCCAGGGTGTGATAGCAGCGTAATATCAGCAGTAACAGGAAGCTGCTCCATGCTTAGGTAATCCTACATTCCGAGTTATTTATTGGAAAGCTGGACACTCCTTCCTAGGCCCGAGGCCACACCTCTGCCCGTCATACTTCTTCACTATTCAAGACGTGCCATTACAGTGGAGGGCATGAAGATTATTTCATCTGCCAGACCAGTCAACGTAGCTCTTATGTTTCTAATGAGTTGAGTCATACTTTCTTACCCCCTTCTTTTAAAATAATATTTTATTGCGTTTTTGGTGAAGCTTGACACAGCAGTGTGGATCCTCATTCGACAATTTCTGCTCAGATTGTTCAGTCTCATTGATTACATTCTTCACACTAAGCCAACATTCTCATTATTTCCATTCTAGTTGTTGAACTTCCATTAAACTAAAGCTTCCCAGCCTCCTTCCTGTCCCATCTTTGTTTTAAAGTAACTGTTGGCTGTTCTGTCTCACAGAGATGATTTTTTTAAGGACTGCAGTACTCAAGGGTGATACGTTTATTTTGTGAGACAAATTATTATTTAGCTAATAGGAGACCTCAGGGGCTAGTTTCAGTTCAAGGTTAAAGATTATCTCAGAGAAATAGTCTTGTAAAGTTCTCTAGTCTAAACCAGATTAGTAAATCTGGATTTTTTTTTTTAAAGAATTTGGGGTTCTGGTCTTCATTTTTCTTCCATTCTATCAAGATCCATCGATTGTAGGCCTGATCATGACTCACACTCCTTTTGAAACAGATTAACAGTAGTTTGAAATAAAAAGTTTAAAATTTTGAAAGAATATGGCAAAAAGCTAATCATGATCATTAAATACTAAAATGGAACCGAAAATAAACAATAACCCACGGTATTTCTATGCACCTGCAAGAATAATGAAATAGGAAATATGACAAAAGACATTTCATTCACAATAGCAAGAGCAAACAAAAATGATTGAAATAGAGTTTTGTGAAACATGCTCAGATTTGATGACTAAACTTTACTGGGTAATGTAAAAGAGGCTCAAAGAAGTATGTCAAATTTGTAGATGGAAGATTTGTTATTACGTGCTGTCGAGTTAGTTCCGATTCATAGCAGCCCTGGAAATTCATCAAGGTTAATCTTAATAGATTTAACACAATCCCAGACAAAAATTTTAAACGCTTTAAAAATATATAGACATCATCAAAATACTTCTAGACTTTAATGGGCACAATGGAAACATACCAGGAGTAATGAGGCCAGGTGCGCCTTGATATGAATGTCCACATCTGCCAATAGCTCATACACAGCAATGCGGTGTGCGGGGTCAATCACAGCACTCCGGCACAGGATGCTGGGGAGGGAACAGAAGGTGCTAAGCCTGACTCTAGGAACCCTCATTTTGTACCTCCCTCAGTGACGTCTGATTGCTTTTCAACTTCTCTTGGTCATAACTGAATGAACAACGGTGAACTTTTCCTGCTTAAGAGAGACCAAAACCAGATGCTCAATTGCTGTCCATATGACCCTTTGTTTATGGTGATTCTTTGCATGTCAGACTAAAATTGTGTTCTGTAGGTTTCTCAGTGGCAGATTTTTTTCAGAAGTAGATCAATAGATCTTTCCTCCAAGATGTCTCTGGGTAGACTAGAACTTACAACCTTTCACTGAACAGTCAAGGTTGTTCACCATCTGCACTGCCTAGGGGGTTCTTAAGAGAAATACAACCCCACAATCTGTTTGCAGAAAAGAGCATTTCAAATACAGCAAGGGCTGCATCTGTCAGGGCTAAAGGCCCCCTCACTTTTCCTCCTGACTTTGAGGAATACTTGGTTTAGTCCAAGGGGTGAGAGTTCCAGGGTCAGTAATGGCTGATGTCTAAGGTACACCCTTCTGTGCAATTTAACAATAATTTCAGTTCCGTTAGTGAGTATAGTTACCCATGAACCTCGGACTGGCCAACCCACACCAAGTCAGTAAGTACGCTTGATCTTAAGACAACATGGTGAGAAAACTGAATTTACCTTTTGAAGCCATTATCTGTTTTTCCTCATTCTGTCTCCCCCATTCCTATCAGTGATGGTTTCCCCTCTCTACCAACAAGTAAAATACAGAGTTCACCAGTATGTAAAAAGTCAGAGTTTGGGATTAAATACCAGAACTCTAAAGGTAAAACCGCTTAAAATATTTTTGAGTATTTTTTGTTTCTGACTTCATACTCCATACACAACTGTTGTATCTATAAATATCATTTGGAATTAGTGGCATACTAAAATAAAATGCCCATCGCTGGTAAATATTTGAGCTAATGAAGCCAATGGTTTTTGCAAGGATTAAAGCAAGATAAAGTACAGATACCAAGCAAGTTTGTATAGAAACTCAATACAGTTATATTCTTTTCCCTTTAATGTGTTTGTGTTGATTAAAACACACTCCTTTTGGATTCAAGCATAATCTCCAAAGTTAAATGTATTAAATGATTCCATTAGATTTAGTTCCATAATTTGTTCTTGTTGTTCAGTGCTGTTGAGTTGGTTCTGACTCATAGGGCTCCAAGGAACAGTTGATGGATTTAAGCCACCGACCTTGCGGTTAGCAATCCAGTGCTCATCCTAAAGCGCCACACATTAAATTCTTACTAAGAAATAGACTAACAGTAATCTCTTGATTAATTTAATTATTAATAATTATCTCTTTGATGGAGAGCATATTAGATTTATCACAGCACTCGAACCACAAGGTTGGCAGCTCAAACCCACCAGCTGCTTCTCAGAAACCCTATACAAGGTCGCTAAGTCAGAACCAACTCGATGGCACTTAACAACAATACCAACAACAATTCCTATTAGTACCACTATTATTCTGCTGGGACATTACTTTTTCATACAGAGTCAGCACTCACTTGAGAAATCTTAAAAAAGGCACAAATCTCAGCAACAGATGTAACAATATTGAAAGATTCTGTCATTTGGAATGGATTTTTATGGAACAAATATTTTCCAAATGCACCATATTTTTAGACTTTAAATACTTAAAGCCTGCTTATTTTCATTTTTCTGCACAACAAACAATATAAAGAAAAAAGAAATATTTTACTCAAATGGAAAAAAAAAAAAAATCAGGTATTCCTGGGAGTGGTAAAATACACTAAAAGTGATTCCTGGTTGAATGCAATACTGCCGTGGCCTTAAAATGACAGAGACTCACTCCCAAAGGCCAAGTTTGGTGTTGTTATGTCCTGAGACCATCGGGAAGTTTCCCTGCAAAGGTCATGAACCAAAGCTTATGGACACCTGAAAGTATACCCTTTCTGGTTTTGGTGTGGAGATCAGTATAGAATTTCTTAGGGCTTCTTCTGAGATGGTCCAAGGATCCCTCAGGTATATCCACTTTTGATTCTATAGAACAGGGATCCACCATGCGACCTGAAATGTGGACAGAATTGGGGGCTGGGCTGAAAGGTGGGCTTTGACAGAACATTATGGAGAAGACCAGACAGAAACAATGAGAATCTCTGCCCCAACCTCCATCCAACAATCTCTAGGGCTCAGCTGGGGTAGTGACCCACCCATCTGGGAGGGGACATTCCAGTGGTTGCTGATGTCACATACTGATTCAACTAATATTTCCAGATAACAACAGAACATTCTGGGAACTCTTTGGGGCCCATACAGTGCTACTATTAAAAATTCAAGTGTATTTACATTCCTTGGTTTCTTTATCATTGCCATGAAGAACAGGATTTCACGGCTACCTTCTAGAGGTGTGCTGAGGGCCTGGTGTTAACTCAATCGTCATTTTATCAATTCTTATAAACATTTCCAATAGAAGTTACTAAAAGATACTCATTTCAAAAGGTCTTTTACTTGTACAATGGGAAAATGTCCAGCTACTACAAGTTATCTCGGGTTCAATACAATTCAACATGAAAGTAGGGGGAATAACATGTCCATGCCTTTGCTCAAGAACTGGGTGTGTTCACTCATTTCTACACCTGTTCTTTCAAGGATCTCTGACTTTCTGTGCCATTTAACTATAGAATTAATTTCAAGTGGAAACACTCGATGCAATATTCTTTAATTAAGACATATCTGCATGTTGTTGCTGCTGTTAAGTGCCGTCGAGTCGGCTCCAACTCATAGCGACTCCTTGCTAAGGAGTGGCTGGTGAGTTTGAACCACTGACCTTATGGTTTAAACAGACCTTGTGATTCAGTGCATTACTCTACAGCGCCATATCAGGACTCCGAACATTTTCATATATCTTGCAATATTATGCAAAGAAAACAATTTTGAATAAACCTTTGTGAGTTCGAGTTTTTGGAAGCGAAGAATTTCATTCAGAAAAAATGTTTTAATCTTTTGACAATGTTTTTCATCAAACATTTATTATTCCCAGTTCTGAAGAGTACGTGGCCTCAGCAGGAAAACAAGGATATACCTACCAGCATAGTTGTGAACAAGTCTTTTCCACTATGCAATGCTGCCATGTACTGCCAGGCTTTCAGATAAAAACACAGAGTGTATTACCACCTGATGTGACAGGAATAAACCAAAAGGTTGTGCACCCAGTCCCCTCACTGGCAATGCTGCTACATCATATGACTAGTCACCTGCTGGTTTTCAACATCTGCCTCAAAGAAAAAGAAAACAACTTTCCAATCCAACATGCCAAGGAAGCACGGAAGTTCCTAAGCAGAGCTCCTACAGATTCAGAGATGAAGCCCCTGAGATGGGGCCAATTACCTGTATTTGCAGCTATAGATGTTCACCTGACCTGTTGCAACAGACCCGGGGCTCTTCACGTCCACATCAACCACAGACAGTTGGTTGATTTCTGTAGCATATTCGACCAGGACCACATAGTGGCCCACCTGTGGGACATGCAGCCGCAACCGCAGCTCCACCTGTCAAAGAATGCATGTAGATACACCATCATCCAGATGAAAAACACAATGGATACTTTAACAAAGCTGTGATAACATCTTGAAATTTTTCTTAAATGCTATTATGGTAACAAATAGGATCTTTTATGTATGGCTGCCAGATAAAATATGGAACGTCCTGTTCAATTATTCATTGCTTGTCTGGAAGTCAAATTTAGTGGGGTATTCTGTATTTTTATTTTCTTTACCTGTCAACTCTACATATAGGGGGTTCTATGCACTCTACCCCGGAGTATCTCAACTACTGTTTCTCACACAAAAGCCATTCTAAAATTTGAACTAAAAAAAGACTGACCAATTTGGAATATGGGGAATAGAAAGATGCCTTGAGGTTCTTTCTTAATTGTTCTTTCATTAAAAAGGAAATTTAAAATACATGGATGCCAATAATGTAATCACGACACACACACACACACACACACACATCCCATTTCCATGATGGTGACTGATAATAGCCTAGTTTTCGTGCTTCCAAACCAGTTTCTATGCCTGAATATGCACAAGCACATGTTTTGTTTTGTTGTATTTAATAATAAAACAAAAACAACTACGATCATAGTAGGCAGATATGAAAGCTTTTGCATTGTAATGTCAGAGTTGAGTAGTTACAACAGATCATAAGACTCACAAAGCCAAGCAAAGGTACTCTCTGGCCCTTTATAGAAAAGTGTGCCAACCCTTGATAGAGTCAACTGATTGGGAGCTTGGATTCTGAGATCAGACTGCCTCCAGTTGTGTGGCCTTGAGCGAGTCCGTCAGCATCTGTAGCTTCTTCAGCGTCCTCTTGTTTAAATGAGGATCACAGGAGCACCCAACTCGTCAGACTGATGTGAGGACCAAATGAATTCAAGCACGTAGAGTGTTTACAATCGTACTTGGCACACAGCAAGTATTATCCAAACACTGACTATTATAAATGTAATCACTGCCTTTTGCCACAACTTGCTTTTCTACCCAATAGTTATTTTATGTGTCTGCATCAGTACGTGCTTCTGTAGACTACATTTTTTTCCGCTGGCTGCTTAGTATGCCATAGCACAAATGTAAAACAACTTAGTGAACTAACCCTTTATTTATGGACATTTAGGTGGTCTCCGATTTTCCCTACAACATACAGTGCAACACAACCAAAAAGGAGAAGTTTCTGCTGAGTTTATCCCAGTGCACGGCGACCTCATCAGTGTCACAGGACCACTCTTTTCTGTGGGGCTTTCAATGGCTATGATAGAAGCAAATCACCAGGCCTTTCTTCTGAAGCACTTCTAAGTGGATATGAACCACCAACCTTTCTGTTAGTACTCAACCACTTAACCATTTGCAGTGCATATATAATGGTAACTCCTTGGTCACCCTTACATATTTCTGTGAGATAGGTTCCTACAAGAAGAATTCTGGGGCCAAGTGTGTTGCACATTTAGTGCCTGAGCCAATATTAGATCTCCAATCCTTAGCAGTTCAACCTATTTCATTCCGTGAGCTTAGGTCCAGTCATGCTTTACCACATATTAAAGTCATCCTCCCCGACCTTGGCATCAGAAAGGTCACATGTACTATTCCTTCTATGCAGCTGTGAACCACACAACTGCTGCTTTCCACGGTGATTTTTCTACTACTTCAACAATTTTATAAAATTCCCTCAGGGAAAAAGTGTGGATTACCCTTACCACTTTTTCACTCTACCTTACAGAGTGACATTTGTCCCTCACATTGCTCTAGAGGGAGAGACGTTCTGACCAGCACTTCTCCCTGGGGCATCTCCAAACAAGGGTGCATCTGTCTTCACCCCACCACAAAGCACACACAGGTCCATGATAGATTGGGTTTTCTCCCAGAAGTTATTATTGGTGCTGGTTCCATCAGAGCACTCTAGTATAATTCCTATTACTCTCCCCACTCTGATTCTTACAGCTAGATTTTTGGAACACTTTTTGGAAGAGTTTTAAATATATTTGATGGTGAAAGTTAGCAAGTTTTGAGCAACTCAGATAAAAACATAAAAAATGGAAAACAAAGAAGAAGTAAAACTCTATTTCAAGATTATATGGTTTTACACATAGAAAATCCCAAGAACTCAGCAAGAAAGTTATTGGAACTTATTGAAAGATTCAGCAGAGTCAGCATACAAGATTCCTTTACACTTTACATAAAGAGAGAACTCTGAAAAGGCATCAGGAAAACACCACCATTTACACTAGTCATCCAAAAGGTGAAATACTTAGGATTAAATCTAACCAGAGAAACAAAAGACCTATACAAAGAAAACTACAAAACACTACTACAAGATACCAAAAGAGATTTACGAAAGTGGAAGGATATGCCATGCTCACAGAGAGGAAGATTTAACACTCTGATAATGTCAAAACTACAAAAAGCAATCTATAGATATAATGCAATACCAGTTCAGATTTCAACATCATTCTTTAAAGAGATGGAAAAAACTAATCACTGACTCCATATGCAAAGAAAGAGAGCCCAAATAAGCACAGCATTACTAAAGAAGAACAAAGAAGGTGGGCTTTCACTTCTCAATCTCAAAGCTTACTACAAATTAAAGTCATCCTTTAATTTGACAACCACAGTGGTCAAAAGAGTCTGGTACCAGTACAATGAAAAACATATATATCAATGGAACAGAATGGAGAACCCAGAAGCAACTCCATCCACCTACAGTAAGCTGACTTCGACAAATAAACAAAACACTTCAAATGGGAAGAGTCTCTACAACAAATGGTGTTGGCAAAATTGAAAATTCATTTGCAGAAGAATGAAACAAAATCCATGTCTCACAACATTTACAAACACAAATTCAAAGTGGACTAAACAACTAAATGTAAAACTTGGAACTATAAAGATCAATGAAAAAGTAGGGACAAACTTGTTGTTGTTGTTGT